GACATGGAGGTTTTATGAATCAATCGTCTCTTTTCCATTCTTTAGGCAAGTGGAAACTCATCTAAATGTCGAGGGTGTGACTGACCATTCCTACCGAGGTCTGTATTTGTGTCTGGGGCCTCATGGTTTCCTGAGGGACATCATTCAGGGCAGTGGTTCCCACCCTGGGCTGCACATTAGAATCTCCTGGGAGCCTAAAATACCTCCCAGTACCCCAGCCCAGCCATAGGCTAATTAAGTCAGAATCCCCAGGGCTAGGACCCAGGCAGCAGTATTTTTCAGAACTCCCAGATGATTGTAGGGGGCAGGGGTTAGTCACTAGAGAGCATAGAGTGGCCAATAAGGAAAAATTCGATCAAGTGGACAGCCAGCACAAGGGGCCTCCCTAGCAATCCTGGATGCTTCTCGCACCTGACCAGGCCCTGTGCCCACAGACTACTCTGGCTTCAGGAAAGAGAAGGTGGAAGAGCAACAGGAAAAGTCTTCTGTCCACCTAGAGCTATAGTTTTGTGTTAGGAGGTAGGAGATTGAATCAAAATCTTCCAGTAGAAAAAATATAACAACTCCTTAGGGTGGTCAGTATGTAGGAAAAGGAAAAAGGAAATTAACATGTATTGGATATTCAACATGTTCCTGGTAACCCAGTTCACATTTTGTTTAAACCTTACAGTACCTTAAGAGATACATCAGTTTCTCACATTCAGGTGTCATGATGGATGGAAGTAATGAGCAAAGACAGATCTTGCATCCACTTTAAAGTTCTTTAACAGGAGCTTCCAGGGTGATTCTGACACCCTTGAAGATAGACTGAATGGTTACTTTTACCAGGCTGCTCTCCCAGATAAGCAAGCAGAGGCTTAGGAACTTTGCACATTTTGGCCAGTCAACCACATCTAGAGGCCTCCAAGGGTCATGGTCTTTTCACTACTTGGACTTCTAAAACCAACTTCTCCTTTCCTGGTTTTATATACTGCAGTCCTGAATTCAGAATTTTAAGTTTGTAGGTAGAATGCTAGGAGTTCCTAGGACCCCTAACCTGGAAAGAAATGTAAAGGAACATAAGCTTTGGTCATAGCTTCGTCCCAAGGCTGGAGTACTCTGAACGTGTTTCTGCTCTGTGTCCACAGTCTCAATGGATCATAGTATATGACCCAGCACTGGATAGACGACTCCCTCAATTTCCAACCTACCCTCCCACATACACATCATAGGACCTTGCACCAGACTCTGAATTCAGCCTCAATTTACCCTTCCACTCTCATCATCAGAGTATAGTAAAGATTTAGCAAAACACAAAAGATCTGAATTCTATTGAACCATTTCCTTTCATAAAACCTTCCAATGAATGACCATGACAAAAGGAAGAAAGCCCAAAATGTGATCATGACCTTCTATGTCCAATATCAGGCCCCCGCTTACCTCTCCTATTTCTCTTCCCATTATACCTTTACTTTTCAAGAGATTCTGGTGACACATGACTCTTTCTATTGAGGTATTTAGTCCACCAAAATTTTTGAGCCTCTTATATTGCTAAGCACTAGATCAGACCATGGAATCTCTAGTGACTTACAGAGAAATATAACTTTGATTGTGAAGGCAAAAAGATGTCACATGAGCAAGAGAATGACACAGTCAAATCCGTTTTAGGAAGATGACAGAAGGGTATGTGGGAGATTAACAGGTTCAAGAATCAAGGCAGGGAAATCAGTTAGAAAGTGATGGGTTCAGGGGAAGGAGAAATGATGGTCTAGACCAAGGTATATGCAGTAAAAATGGAGAGTAGAAGGAAGACATAAAAAAGAATAAACAAGAAGAATCAATTACTTGAGACCAGCAGATGGTAGAATGGTTATGTCACTGGACTCCCACATGGTCGACTGCCATTCAAGTCCCAGATCTGGTAGCTTGAAACTCACAACAGATGTGTGTGCATGTGTGCCCAAAATCCCAAGAGGAAAATGGAGGAGAAGGGACTGTGGTGTGGCCATCTCTCCTCGGGGCTGATTTCTCACTTCCTATCTCTCTGTCTCTCTGGAAAGTGCATGCTCCCTGTAGCAAAACATTTCTCTAGAAAAAAAAAAAAGAAGAAGGAGAATCAATGACTTGTGGAGGGTTAGGAAATCAAGCCTTCAATAAATGGAAATAAAATTTGGCTTTACTGTCTTCTTGGTAATTACACTTTTCCTTGCTTAGAAGATGACTTATGTGGTTTCTTTTGATTCTGAATTCTATTACTGCTATAATCATTTAGAGTTTGGGGGAGCATAAAGCAGAGTCTTATTAGAATGGGCAGGTGGCTTTCCCTTAGGAGTGACCTTGAACTAAGAAACAAAAAATATGTGCAGCCATGTTGGAAACAGAACCAAGATGATTTTCATTTGTTGTGCATCCCAAGGTCTTGGCAATGGGCCCATTCTTTTGGTTTGCTTTGTTATAAATAAAGCATTGTCCTATATGTCAAAGACTTGGAAGAATGCATTGTGCTGCAGACAGCTGCTGTGATATGGGAATGGCTTTTAAACTAAGAACATTTCTTTTTTCCTTCCTTTTTCTTTCTTTTTTGAAGGACAAAAATACAAAATCATTATAGAAATTCACTTACCAACCATTCTGAAGCAAAGTAGTTCCTTGAGAACAGAATACCTCTGAATTCCTGTCCTCACCACACAAGGGGATTTCAAAAAGTTTGTGGAAAAATGGAGTTAAAGTACGAGGTTTTTTTGGTGCAGAAAAAGATTGAAATCCACCCATAGTTTTTTCATAATATATGCATTTCCTGTGAGCTGTTTGAAGGCTTGCTTGTTTGTTAATAGCAAAGAAGTAGCTGATAATACACTGATGTGTCTTTACTTGCCTTCTAAAAGATTTCTGTCTTTTGTTTATTTTATTTTATTTTTCAATTTGCCAGAAGACATATGTGCTTATTGGAGAGAGTCAGTGAGAGAGAAAGTGGAAAGTCACCTCTCATGGGAAACGGTCATGCCACAATGTCTTCACCATCTCTCTCCTCTTGACATTTTTTTAGGCAGACACACACACACACACACACACACGCACACACACACACACACATGTATTTTCTTTCCTTTTTTAAAATTTCTTTTAGGTTTTTGCCATAGGACACATGCACTCTCCAGGGATAGACCAAAAGAGGGAAAGTGAGAAATTCCCCAAAGGGGTTGCCCATACTGCAATTGCTTCTTCTTCATTGTCCTCTCAGGATTTTGGGCATGTATCACACACGCACACATACACACCTTGATTGTGGTAAGCCATCTGGGAGTACAACACCTTAATCATGATGCCACCTCCTACCCCACCCCTCCAGTATGTTTTTCAAGTCACCAGGTTTGGGGCTTGAACCACACAATAGGTTACATGGGACTCAGCCACCTTAACAATCTGGCCATAGCTGACCCCTCTTTTATTTTTTAAATAACTTTCTCAAGATATATATCACAACCTGAAAGAGAATTTTGAATACTATAAAAACATAACTTTTTTAAGTGGTTTTAAGTATATTAAGAAATATGGGCATCAATCTTCACTATCAAATTTCAGAAAAATTTTATTACCCCAGACAGAAACCCATAGCAGTCTCCTCTGGATCCCTCTTCCCCTGAGTCTCTGCAACCACTAATTTGTTTTCTGTCTCTCTTCTGCTTAATTTGAACATTTCATATAATAATAAAATTACAAGATACATTGCCTTTTATGTATAATATCTTTCAGGTATCATAATGTTTTAAGTTGCATCTATGTCATACCATGTATCAAAACCTTTTTCCTTTGTATGACCAAATAATAATCCTGTTGTATATACTACAGACTGTTCATCCATTCATTGTTTGATGGACATTTGGGTTGTTTCCACTTTTTCCTATTATAAATAATGCTGGAACACTCAGGTACTCTATTGTGTGGACACATGTTTTTAATTCTACCTATGAGTAGAACTGGTAACTCCATGTTCAACTTTCTGAGGAAAATATAGACCATTTTCCATGGGGGCAATACCATTTTATATTCCTGCCAAAGGTTTTGAAGGATGAAGTCGTATAACCCATTTGCATCAATGATGTCATAGCAGACCTTTCAGCTTAGACAGTGTAGTCCCTTATTAATTTGCGAGTATATAGGGGTGTGGGCCAGCAGAGATGGATGATAGTGTTCCTTTTTTATTTTCTTTTATTATTATTTAAAATTATAAACCAACTGTTTTTTGAATTGCAAAGAATCTCAGAAAACTTCAGGGCCACACTCAGTTCTGTATGAGAAGAAACCAAGACCCTGAGAAGTTCAGGAACTTGCTCAAGACCACACATGTTAGTGATAACTGAAAACAATCCAGATATTCTGCTTTTTCTGTCAGCGGAGGCAAAATAGATTTAGAACAATTAGGTGATAGGAGTCTGAGAAGGCACAGGAAGATGGCAGGCAGGAGGGGTGGTAGTAGGTACAAGTGGGGTGAGGGTGGTCATGAAAAATCAGATGTTGCCTTCCACCAACAGAAAAGCATATGCACTTCCCGGTCCCTAAAACTGATGGTGGAATCTACATCTGATTTTTCATATTCTGCAGTTGCACTGTCCAATACGGTAGCCACTAGCTACATGTGGCTATTGAATATTTGAGTGTTACTGGTGCATCTGAGGAACAAATTTCTAATGTAATTTAAGTTTCATAGCCACTTGTGACTAGTACCTGCCATACTAAACAGCACAGCTCTGGAATTGTTAAATAGTAGAATTGAAATGGAGATGAGGAGACCTAGGGCCATGAAGCAGAAGTTACTTAACCAAGAATAGGTAGTGTATTGTGCAACCAGGACTTGGTGGTGCCTGGCTGGGCTCATTCATTGCTCCCCCTCTAAACTCACTATCATCTCCCAGAGCTCTAATCTGCCCATCACCTCAAAGGGTAGCTTTGGGGCAGACTTTGGGGACAGGTGCAACTGTTTCATGTAATTATTTTTTATTGTTTCTCTCTTCTTCTTACAGGAAAGAACAGCTAGAGGCAGCAGCCAGGTAAGTTTCTGATTACGAATTCTCGTCTTCCCAATATTGTGTCGGTGCAGAGGGTCCAGATCTACATGCTACAGTGGCCCTGGGTGGTCGCTGCTGGTTTCAAGATAGAGTTTTTTGGTTCCCTGGTGTTGCTTACCACCATATTCCTATTTTCATGATGATTTACTCAAGGGCACCTTAGGATTCACAACAGGAGCCATTTACTGAGTGTCTTCTCTGGACTAGGTTTCTGTGCCTTGAGTTCTGTAGATGTTATCTGATTTGGTCCTCATGACCTCAACATAAGATAGTTACTAATATCTTCATTTGTGGGCAAGGAGATTGGGGCTCAGAGAATTTGAGTCATTTCTCCTGGGTCACATAGCAACTGAGTATTAGCAAGACCGAAAGTCAGTCAGGCCTGCATGTTAAGACCATGTTATTTCCTTTATATGTTGCTTCGTGTGCTTCTTGGGCTCACAGATCGTCCTTCAAAAGTGAATCAAGGCTCTAATTCATGACCCACACCACTGTGAGGTTTCTCATCAAGCCACACTCACTATGGGCTGCTGCAGAGATGGGAGGAGCTTCCAAGTTATGACCATTTCTCTAATCTGGTTCCCTGTTCTCATTTTCCCTGGGAAGATGTCACAATATTAGGGAAACTAGGGACTAGCAGTTAGCGTAATGGCTATGTTGCTGGACTCCCATGTAGTCGACCGTGGTTCGAGTTCTGGACCCGGTGGCTTAAACTCACACCGCGCACATGTGTGTGTGTGCCCAAGATCCCTAGAGAAGAACTGAGGAGAAGGGATTGTGGCGTGGCCATCCCCCCTGGGGGGTGATTTCTCGCTTTCTGTCTCTGTATCTCTCTGTCTGTCTGGCGAGCACACGCGCCCTATAGCAAAAACCTCTCCAAAAAAAAAAAAAAAGAATATTAGGGA